TAATTTAGGCTTACTTTTAAGCTATTCACCCAGGTCCCTAAGATACAATCTTTTCTGGAAAAAAATTTAACGTTCTTCTTCAGTGCAACAAAGTATGTTGTTAGCACCTAGTCTACATCAAAGAACCATTCATTTACCTTCCTACATTGCTGCTAATGTCTCTTTCACTAAGTATTCTGTTCCGGAGTCCAAGATGCTTATTTATTTGTGGGTACTTAATTCAGTGCCTAACACTTAGTGTAAGAAGCCTTTCAGTCAATTTGGCAGTGGAAGCCTCCACAAGGGAAGGCTGTGAGTACAAACGTCCAGTGGAATCGCCGTCAGGGGGCCAGAAGTGGCACATGTAGAAGGTTTGAGGGCCCACCTTTTGTTCTCTCGCTATTAGGAATTAAGATGCTCCTTAGCTCTGATTGAGTTAAGATGTTCGTATGCGTCCCACCTCCTACAATCAAAGCTTTGAACCAGCAAGATTCAAGGGTTCTTTGTTTTGTAGTCACCACTATCACCTACCATTTTGGATTCAGTTTGACTCTTGGGTTCCATTTCCACTTGCTCCTCCATTCCATTCGTAAGTTCAAGTTTGGCTAGTTACTCACCCTCACTTACTTTCAAATCCCCATCAAACCTGTAAAATGCTCACAGCCTTGGACCTGCAGGTCAGGAGGATGAGTACTTGATGACACATAAAACACAATCCACGTGATCGTGGGATTCAACTGAATTGGATAGTTAGAAAACGTCATGGATAATTTAGACCTTCCATGAATAAACAAGTCTTAATGATGAAAAATTGAACTATGTATTAGACATTGTGCAGTGAACTGTTTCCCAAGAGTCAAAAGTATTAGATCTTTAAAATAAGCAATTTATTGAGTTCAGTGCAAAGGCAACCCAAATCCTTAACTGAATGAATTATTTCTTTTTATTAAAACTTCCAGTGGCTTCCTACTGCATATGATAAATATATAGTTCCCATTATTGTGCACATTTCCAGTGTGCAGTCCACCTCTCCAGGCTAATCTCTTGTGTTTTTCTACCTTTCTGTCCTTCGTTCCAGGCAAAACAAATTGCTTTCCATTTGCAAAGGAGTTTCCTGTCACCGTGCCTCTACTCACTGTTTCCTTTTGCACGGAAAGTCTATGAAGTGTCTCTACCCCAAGTTCCCATCATCAGGCTTCCATTTTCTCTGTTGCTACTACTTTGCCTCTCACAACTCTCATTGAAGTTTTTCTCCTCCCTGACTGCATTCTCCAAGTAGAAATGAATACTACTTCTAGGAAAACACTGTAGTCATATCACGACACACTGCCCACAGTTTGCTGTGTCAATAACAATGCTTAGTTTTACCTTTGCATATAACTCATTACTAAATGTAGACTCTGCCTTTCTTAATTATCTCCTTTTATTAAAAATTATAAATTGTATATAACCTTCATAATAGAATTTTATCAAGAAGGAATTAAAGAACTCAAACAGATGTTGTAGTCCCTATCTGAGTGCACAAATGTAGGAGATAAATAGCGATTCTTAAACAAAGATGAAGGAACAGTCTATGTTCCTATGTGTGTGCATTTCCTTGTGCACATTCACGATAAGAGGTGGGCAGCTCCTCTTCAGAGTACCTTACATACTTCCATTGTACATCCGCCTATTAAGAAAAACTGTTCTAATATACCACAAAAATAATAATCTTCACTAATTGCATATAGTAGTTCTCAGATGTACAGACTCTTGAGAAATAGACATTCTAGTTTTTATGCTTTCCAATTATGCTGCTTGAATGAATATTTAAATTTACGCTCCACTGTCCCACAATGCACAACGCTCTCTAATCCTCCATCTCTCCTTAACATCCTGATATTTTTATGAGCTTCAATAGCCCATTTTAAAGTGGTAGTTTCTTTAACAAAATAATTACAATGTAAATTAGTCTTCAACAAATAGTAAGGCACATTTTAGAATTAAAGTCCTAAGTATTGAAGCTTTGCTTCCTGATATGTTTAAAACTGTTATATAAGTTTAACCATAGCCATTCAATCTATGTACCTAGAAATATCGTTTCTTCTGTTGCTAATGAAAGTCCTACGGCACAAATTTATTAAAGGTATACGTTTGCATGGGATAATAATTGGGTCGATAATATTAAATTCATAGGCTCATTATTTAATTGCAAGGGCAGATTATGAATACAGCTCCTAAAATGTATTTTAATGAAAAACACTACATCCTGACCTAATCATATCAACCTTATGCTATCTAATTAAGGATGCAAAAAATCATTAGAGTTGCAAAATATTAGTTCCAGCTCCATCAGGCTGTGAGCTGCCCCTTCATGAATATATATTTTTTTACTCCATGATAAATAGTTAATGAGGTAAAAATGACAAAATTTGCATGTAGGCAAATTAGTTTAATAGAATGATGTCTTTTCTGACTACTGAAAGTGACCTTTTCCTTCTCAAAAAAATGGCTAAAATACTTTGAAATTATCATCTGGCTGTCTTTGCACAAATGACAAATTATATGTATGAACAATATAAAAATTACAAAATGCAATAATCCTAAATTCTCATCATACAGTAAATGTGGTCTGTGCCTTTGCATTTATCAATTTAATAAAAGGAAATTAAGCATATTATAAAGTGTCCATTTATGCGGCAATTTTTAATCCAGAGCATAAAAATGAGAAGCATGCTCTTAATAGCTGGCACTATAGCGAAGATCCAGATCAAATTTTTAAAGCACAAGGATTCTAGACTACTTACTTGAAATACTTTTATATTAAAATGTCTATTCCAGTCATAATTTAGCATTTTAGATATAGATGATTGTTCTCAATTAAACTGGCATTATATCTTGAAATTAGTAATCAATTATTCAACAGGGCTACCTTGCTTCCCAATTGAAATAAACTAAATAACCAAACATAAAACAGGTTAAGAAGAATAACAGACGAAAATTAATCAGGAAGAGGAAGTCTTCATAGCATGAATACCAGGTCATGAAGAGACAGAACAAACAAGCAAAATACGTGTGTTTATCCATTTGTTTGGAAGTATTTATGTATTCTTAACAAACATAACCCCAAAAATGAGAAATAGGTGCTCTACAGATTTTCAAGTGATTGGCATAAACATCTCCGAGAGTCTCGTCACTGATGGATGCTGAATCTATACATGTCGGGAAAGGAACAGCAGCAATTTATCGAGATATATTAATTTCTGTTAATGGCCCAACAGAGTCTAAGCCAAAATATTTTACTTAAGACACAAATGCCTTTGATTAAATTGTTTACTTTAAATACATGTAACCAAATTATCTTTTTCTTGATCCATTTCAGTGTGTACACAAAGTCAGGATTATGGTAACTCAAGGTTTGAGTTCTCTTCCTGAGTTCTACTCTTGTCCATCATGGGTCAGCTAAGCCATTTTATAAAGAAGGAAATAAATATTAATTTTAAAGCATTTTAAGAAATTTCACATCTCCTTTAATTTTCCTTCTGGCACCTGAGCCTTAGTTACCCCCTCCTTTTCCTTCCCTTCCTCCCCCCTCCCCCACCCTCCCCTCTCTGTTTCTTTCTCTGTCTTCCCTAGCTAAAATGAAAACAACACATACTAAAATATTTAGTATTCCTCTAATATTTTCTCTCTGTTTCCCTCTATATTCTCTTTTTAGGTACTATTGTTTAAGTGAAATGATTTTGGTACTCAGTTTTTTTAGATTGCTTCCAATTTCCTAAACTTTCATGTTGTAAAACTTAATAATGTAACAAAATGTACTCGACGTGCTCCGGGCACTTTGAAATGATCCTAGAGAGAAAATGCTCTTTGCTTCAATTTTAGGGTAATTTCAACAATTTTGGCCTTTTAAAAATCATGCTGTTAATCACGGATTTTTGAAGAAGAGGAACTAGAATGAATATATGGTAAAGCAAAATTTGTTTTGCTTCAATTCAGGGACGGCAGTCTTGGAAATGTCTGCTGTGATGTTATATTAACTATCAAATTAACAGTGTTCAAGACACATTGAGTACATTAATAGCAAACCCATGTGGAATTTATTTGAAAAGCTGATGTTTAGGTTTGTATCAAGTAGAGAACAGAATGAGGTAGATTGTATGTTCTGTATATGGGCAAGCAAAACATGTTTAATTGTTCAACCATTCATGCATGCATTCTTTTATGTACTGAACAAATAGACAATAAAAAGGTACTATATTCTGCAGACCTGGTTAAAAATTGAGGACACATGGGGCTGGCCCAGCGGCACAGTGGTTAAGTTCGCACATTCCACTTCGGCAGCCGGGGTTCATAGGTTCGGATCCCGGGTGCAGACATGGCACTGTTTGTCAAGCAATGCTGTGGTAGGCATCCCGCATACAAAGTAGAGGAAGATGGGCACGGATGTTAGCTCAGGGCCAATCTTCCTCAGCAAAAAGAGGAGGATTGGCAGTAGTTGTTAGCTCAGGGCCAGTCTTCCTCAGCAAAAAAGAGGAGGATTGGCAGTAGTTTTTAGCTCAGGGCTAATCTTCCTCAAAAAGAAAAAATTGAGGACACAAAGACGGAGAAGCCACTTGCTTATTCCACAAGATCTTAGTCTAAAAAGAAACAGGGACACATTGACAGGTAGTTCTCAGGTTGTGTGCTCCATGCTGGAAAGGTCAGGTGAAACAGGTAGTGTTGACAAAAAGGAGATCGTCCATTCTGGGCAGGCTCCACAGAGAAAACACGCAAGCTGAGAAGCTGAGCCGGGAAGAATGATTGATTTGCCAGGTAGTAGATGAGGAGCTGGGAGAATGCCCTCCCAAACAGAGAGAAATGATTGGTAATGTGAAACAATATGACAGAGTTAGCAGATTATCCATATTTTTATATGGCCTAATCACATTTTGGTAAGAAGCATTAATTAAGAGGAATTCTGAGAAGGGGTGGAGAGATGAGGATATGGGAGACGTTGCTGGAGGCACAGGAAAGAATCAGTTCAAATGGCAAATACACAATAGTATGAATTTTTCCTTTTATTCTTCAGGCAATTGGAACTTATTGAAGGGTTTATGACGGGAATGCAAGGTCAGACTTGCATTTTAGAAGTATCATTCTGACAAGAGTGGAGAATGAATTAATGGACAGTATGACAATGTAGCAACTGCAGCTTGAGACAGAGCAGTTAGCAAAGTCTTGCTGTTCTTCAGAAGTTGGTCCTAGATATAAGTAGTAGCAAATAGAATAGAGAAGAGCAGATATCATGAAGTAAAATAAATAGAACCAGATGATCAAACTGAAGAACACTCTATGAAATAAAAAGTCTAGAAAAACTCTGAGTTTTGGATTTTTGCCATGCAAAGTAGATGAAAATGCCATGTACAGAGATTGTGGAAGTATAAATGCTGTGGTTTTGTGATATAGGCGAAATGCATGTGTTAATTACTTAATTAACAATATGTATTTAGTCAATTTTATTTAGGCCATACTGAGTTTTAGGTATCTTGAGACATTCATCTGGAGATATCAAGTAGGCTACTGAATTATATTAGTTTGGGACTCAGAAAAGAGGTGTAGCTTTGAGAGACATAAACTCACGTGTCGCTTATCGACAGGGATACCTTCTGAGAAATGCGTCATTAGGCAATTTCATCATTGTGTGAAACATTGTGTGAAACACAAACCCAGATGGTATAGCCTACTACACACTTAGGCTATATGGTACTTATCTTATGGAACCACCATTGTGTGTGTGGTCTGTCGTTGACCAAAACATCCTTATGTGGTGCATGGCTGTATTTAATAATCTTCTGCAGGATGGAAGACACAGATTAAAATGAGGTTAACCAAAGGACACTGTGTAGAGTAAGAAGACGAATAAACCAACTATACGATCCTGGAAGACACCAACACAGAAGAGGCTGATGGAGCCAATGAAGTCTGTAAAAATGATTACTGAAAGAGGGAAGAGAACCTAGGGGCTGACTAACAAAGACATCAAAGGAGGAAGGAAGGAATAACATTCTCTCCCTCCTGTTCACTCATTTGGCTGTTACTTTAAAGTCAACAATCTTGTCACACGTGGGAACTCTGTCACTAGCTTCTTTTCTATTCTTCACAACTCTTGTGTAATTTTGTCCAATAAATATACAGCAGGCATCAATAAATATTTCTGTAAGAAAATAATAGTGCTAAACTATAAGAACCATCTAGTCACGTCTCCTCATTTCAACTAATAAAAGAAATCAATACACACTTGAGTTGCAAGATTTGTACAATGGTGACAGTCAAATACAGTAGTAAATGGCTGAAAGAAGAATGTGAGAAAATTTAACAACTTGCTGATATGCTAACAGCATGAGTTTATTTTGTGCGGTCAAAAAACAAATCTACTCCAAACCAACTCACCTTTCTTCTTTCACCACTGATTCCTCTCCATTGCTCAGATCTTTTCACTATATAACTTAGCTCCTGATTGGAAATCTCTGCATCATATGGTACAAAGAACTTGGTTTCTTCACTGTGGATACGCTGAAATGCATCTACTATCCAAGAATCATTGTGTAATCTAAGAACAAAAATATTAATTTACATTTCTTTTATCAGTTTCTATTTATTTAGTTTATTATTGCCATTTCTTTTTCAGAAATTATTTGACTAAGTTTCTAGAAATTATTCAATAATTTCCTTCACTAAATATCATAATCCAACAACAACAATCTGGGGATTTTTTTTTTTTTTTTGCAGTTATCTCTAATAAGCTTACCATTCTGATTTTTGATGTCTAGGTAATAGACTGTAGGAAATTGAGAAATATTTAACCAATAATTTGTATTAGGAATATCTAAATTAGTTCTAATGTGAGGGATTTGTCAAAGGGAATTTAAATTTGGGTTTATTCTTCCTCTGCGAGCTGGTTTTCGTGCCCCTGTGGTAGAAACCCCATTGGATCAGCTCAGTCAGCACAGAGGTTTCGCTTGCTTGGTTGTTTTCCAGTGTGAATGATAAATTGACCGATTTGGTGAAGCACCTAACCTGAGGAATTCCTTCTTTAATCTTTTCCCACTTCTCAAAACAACCCCAAATATTAACTTAGAAAAACGCTGCTTTTCTTGTGATCTAGTAATGTGACAACAAAGTATCTTACTGAAAAACATTAATATTTCATTAGTAAGACTTAGGTGAGTATGACAAACATTAATTAGGCCAATGCTTATAAAACTTTTCCATTAAATGCCCCTAAGTTCAGAGAAGAGAAAAAGTATATTCTATCCCTAATCTATTGGTATATTTGTTTTAATATAGTACTTTTTATTTTTTAAAAATTTGAGTAAAACTGAAACTCTGGGGAAATATATTTATCCTGTGATTCAGTATACACTTGGCTCACCCTGTGTACCTGGATCTAGTTTAAGAAGTACAAAATTGTGCAACCAAGCCATAAGCCAGATTGAGAAACCTAATACATCACAGTGTCAAAGAACTACTGGTTTGAGATATAAGTTTTTACAAAATGCCCAAGGTGTAAATTGGACTATCAAGATAGCATCACACGGAAGCATCTTACCACACAAAGCGGAGAATTGTAAATATTTTATTTCGATGATCGGGATTTTTTTTGCTTTAAATAGGTTAGATAGTTAAAACTAAAATTTATTATTTCATGTTAAAATGGCAGGCGACTTCACATCTGTTGTGTTACCTAGCTTTACCTTAATCTTGTCTTGTACATATTAATACCCTAAAACCAAAAAACTTAGTCTTACTGTTTATAAATAACAGAGACAGAATTTAAACTCAGAGCACACTCCAAAGTTCATTTCATTCCATCATCTGAGCCTTCAGTGAAAATAACCAATACAACACAAATCTTCACTTAATGACCTCTGTCTCAATCCTTTCCAAAATAATAAAAAGGATTTTTCTACTCAACTTGCCAAATATGATCTATGTGGGTTTTTTCCCCCAAATATTTTGCATTCATCACAAAGTGGAAATAAAAGCAAAACTGCCACCCAGCGTCACTGATAGCGTCAATACAGGCTATATGGCTTGGTGCCATCTTGAAGTGCAACTACTACTCTTATTTGCTTCGAGAGTCTAGGTTGGCCATTTGAATGATTTGCTAGTTGTCTTGTTAAACAACAACTAGTTTTTACCATTCTCTTAAGCTTGTTTTATGTAACATTCATCTTTTTCTTTTAATGGTGGTAAGATTTAATGTAGTTAAATTACTGTCAATTTGCTGCCATAAACATTTTCTATATGAAGATTTTAAGTGCAGGATTATCAACAATGCAATTAACTTTGAATTAATTAGGAATCACAGTCCTGTTTCTGCTAGCTTCTGTTCTTTTTGCCCAGAAAATGTCTGTCTCCTCTTTATATCTCCTCCATTCTGTGTGAAAGAATAATTACATAAACATCCAAGCCTGGATCGACAGGATGGTAAACAAATGTTTTAACAGAGAATAAAATGGCACATTGAAGTATGGAAAGCTGTACAAAGATTAATTGCGTTTTAGTTTTATTTAAAAAATTTTTTCTTGCCATTTTGAGTGGCATTTTCCATTGGAAAGCTTCACGACGGGTTGTTGAGTCAACTTACCAACTTTTATTAGATTTTAGCATATCTTCCAGCTCTATAGAGCCAGCTTACACAAACAAGAGAAAAAGAATATATAGTTGTATATGTAAAATAAGAAAGTAAATTGAATGTTAATACTTATGCAATTCGTTTGATAATATAATTAGTCAAGCTGTATAACATTTATCCAAAAATAAATTATTTTATCCTTTTGGATATTTATATAGGCCATACTGATCAAAGTTGTTGCATGTCTATTGAACTTTCACTCTTCTAAATTTCTTTAGAAAGTTAAAGAGCCCAACTAAATGTCAAGAAAAATTCTATAAAGATAAACGATGTAAAAAGTTTCAATTTCATAGATAAATTGGGCATTCATGGACATTGACAAGAGAAAACAATAGACTATTCTGTCTATATATACAGCATTAGAATAATCCAGTACAATATTGTTTAAACTTTTCATGATCATATATGGTTATGAAAGTTTGTTATTCTCAAATGAGTCAGAAATTACATACATACATATGTTCACGCATTTTCTGCCATTTTGGGTGTGTGTGTGTATAAATATCAGATTGAATTATATAAAATTGAAAATATTGAATCATATTGGATGAGAAAAAAGCGAGAAAAGCAAACATGGAAAAATTTTAATAATTAGTGAATCTAGGAGAATATATAAGTTCATTGTACTATTTTTGCGATTTTTGTAAGTTTGAATTGTTTTCTAATAAAAAGCTAAAATTTTATGATATACTATTGAAAAATACATCATTTATGGTGATGTTTGCAAATTTGAATTTCTTTTAACAATATAGCTATTCAATATGCCTAAAAATTTTACATTTTTAAGTTATTTCTTCAAATTGTAATTAAAGGAGAAACTACATCCCACCTGTCCACAAAGCCTTAGGCGTTATTGTTTATAGAAATAGGTCACATATTATGCCACAAGTTCTGATGATGGCCAATGAAACAAAGTAATTTACAAAGTCCTCTGCCCTGTGCCCTACATTTGAAGCAATTCATTGCTTGGTGAGTGGCAGTAGCTATTACGTTTGGTTCACACCTGAATGTGGGTCATTCACAGAAACCTAGTATGTGACATTTCTTTTAAAGCCAAAAAGGACAAGTGTGAACATTTAGCTAATACAGTATTTTAAGGGTCATGAGAAGGATGGAATCTATAATTTTAAATAGCTCTAAATGCAAGAAAAAACATAAAAATTAAGAATCAAATATAATTGCTTATTTCTAACTCGAAAAGTTACCAATGAGTTTGGCAGTATGGCTTTACACACATTGTAGTCAATGTGTTTATGATGTAAGCTGGAAAACTACTTATCTGCTGGAGTGATTACATTAGAATGCTTCAGGGAAAGCTCTGAACAGACAGTGTATCAATGGTCAAACTTCTTTTGGCATGACCAGCATGTGCTTGACAAAATTCATTCTTATTTTGTTTATTGTTAAAATCCACATATTCTTTAGCAGAATTGTTGAACACTTCAGATGAAGTGTATGACATTGATGGTTTTATACGCATGGAGAAAGCTTTTGTTGCCTTTCTAGAAACTCCTGACTACTCACCATTCTTTTTAAGTGTAATTGAAATTCAAATGACTTTGGCTTGGAAACAGAGGAAAAAGGAAATACAAGGAAAGAATAAAGAAGAGGAAGAAAATAAAGAAGGGAAAAATAATTTTAGAAAAAGGAAAAGAAATTCAGAAAATAAAAATGTGCACACAAAGAGAAGTAGTCAAGAAACCTCCCTTTCCCTTTTTCAGAGACAGTTCTATCACAGCTTTCTAATGATGAAGTGTATATCCTTCGATCTATGTGTAGTCTCACGCCGGTAAGGGGGCCATCATCCTCTTAATTCATCCCTCGTTGATTTGTTCATTCAGTCAACAAGTATTCACATACGCTTACCAAATGCCAAGTAGTTGGCAAGTGTAATTAGTAGGGGAGGCGATAGGTGAGGATTACAGGAGGAGGTGGAAAGGAGGCCGTATGAGTCTATACTTAGAGATTCTCAAATGATTATGAGAGCCAATGACATATTATTAAGGGTTAGGATTCTGTTCTTTCTCATGGCCACAAGGACCAGCTCTTCCAGTGCATACTGTCTTATATTCCTATGAGGGTACGGACTCAGGTTATGCAGGTAGATCAGTTTTACTAGGGAAAGCCCAACTATAAAGGGTAAAGTGAACCAGAAGAACTATGAAGCATTTTCCTGAATCAAACTCATCCGTGAGGTCTTAGCCACTGGGAAAGCACAGGGCTGATAAGAGGTCCTGATCTCATGATCAGTGTCAATGGCAAAAAAGGGTTGCTTAAGCACTTAACCCAGACTAAACGCTGAGGCACCTTCCATCATTTGTACCACCGCAGAATGACAGCTCCTTTGCAGATGTGACCAAGGTCACTAGGAAGCCATCTGCATTTTTGAGTATCTGAGCATGCCTCATATTAACCTCCCTACCAGATCATTAAAGAGAAAAGACTACTTGTAGAAGGAGGTGGAGGATGGGGGTTGGAGACAGTGGAGTTGAGATTTGGGATTACCAAATTGGAGCAGAGAATTGGCAAGCAAGGAGTTAGAGGGCATTCTGCATCTATGATGCGTTTAGTACTTCCCTGGGTCCCTTGGACTTTTTCCGGACAGTGCCTAAATTTCTTGCATTTCTCCTGCTATGGACATCCTTGCAACCCTTTCAAACTTCTCCTTCCACATTGCAGTATAATTTTTTAAAGTTGACTGCGGCCAAAGAATTCAAACTAAAAGCCTATTTTGATCACTTCGATAAGTCAAACTAACACACATGAGAGTTGTGTGTATATCTTTTTACACTTCTTCATTATGTTCCAGCTGAGAGTTTAAAATAAAAAACACGAGAGTTAGTGTCATTTGAACATACAGCCTGTGAGCCACATTTTATTTGAACTAGACGGTGTGTCTTCATCATTAAGAA